CGAATATATTTAACAATTTAATGGATTTATTTTATGAAATAGATTTTGGAATGGATTTGGGTATTTATTATGGTATAATATGTTGCCAATTTATCTCCTTAAAATATGTGTTTGAAATAAATTATCTCGTAAAGTCTTAAGCTATGTTTTTTCTTATAACTTTATAATATTTAGGGTATTTTTATGGGCCATCACCTGCGATGATTTAATTTCTTTCTAGCAGTTAGCCTCCGGGGGAGCCCTCTTCGCATATTTCACTATATTTTCATTTTAGCGCTTTCACACATACACACGCAGGGCAAGCACTCACATGGATGCACGGGCACGCATGCACACAGACAAACACAAACACACACACATCCACATACACCCCCAACAATGGTCGCACTTCCTGTTTCCGCTTGTTGGCGGCGGTGTTGCAAAGTGTGAGATGGAGCAGGGAGGCGAGGTCGGGTGACACCGGGGTCAAGGGAGAAATTTGCATAAATTTTCCGTACATTTCGCACAGAAGGCAAATTGCATTTTCAGCATAACACGTACTCCATTCTACTTACACCGACATCAGCCAACGCAACACTCACACGCACGCAGTAGTTTTTTTCTTGCCAGGCTCTTCCTCAACCCCCCCTCCTCGGAAAAGGTAGGCCGTGTTTTCCCGTCGCCATCATCCTTATTTTCATTTTCATCCTCCTCACATCGTCAGGAGCTTCGTCCTTATCCTGGCGCTCCATTCGTCTGTGTTAGTTTAAGGCATGCAAATGTTACGAAAATTGCTTTTTACTTCCCATCATGCAGGTGAATGAGTTTCCCTTCACACACACACATACACTTGCAAACAAACGAGATCCTCGCACCCGCACACACAAGTAAGTTAAGTGTTTGCCTTGAAGTTGTTACTGCTAAATTACCTTTTGTTGTAATTTTTGGCCCTGGCCAGGTTGTCCCTCGCACAATGGACACAAAAGTTTTTGTTACACAAAATGAAATAAATATTAAAATATTTTCCACACAATCGATGTGGCGCTTTATTCATGGCCAATACATGTAGAATATATTGTGTGTCAGCATTGTCTAGTTTTGTGCATTAAAAGTTGAAATATTAAATTCCAATCAAATTCTTATACAACTAGAATGCCTATCCTATGAATTTTTCGGCCGCCTCTACAATATTATTTAATGTTTTAAATTGTTTCGTTTCCGGAGGAAACAGGATTTTCAGTAACATTTTTACTAACCGAATTATAATCATAGCCTACCTTTTTGGGCAATGCATGTGCGTGCATTTAAATGAATATACGAGGCTAGTTAATGCTGTGGGAATGAGTTTAAAACCGCTTAATTAATTGGAACTATTATATTTAAATTGTAAAATGTGTCAGCTATATAAAGTTAAGCATTCAAATATGATAAACCAATTTTGGTTAACAAATGCTTTAATACCTTATCGGACATAATTTAAGGCATTTTGGCAAAGGGATATGTTATTGTTTAATAAATATTGAAGTCACAAAATCAAATGAATTTAGTGACAGTCAGTACGTTTAAATAATTATAGTTGTGTATTTTTAAATTGATAATCACTGTATAAACAAACACAAATTGTATTGTTTGATATAGATTTAATTCTGTTAAGTAAATTATAATTCCTCTTTTTAACAAAACAACGCACAACTTATTCATTTATTATAGCGAACATAAATACGAAGCATTCTTTCAGTATATGTTTCTAAAAAATGTAAGCCGCAAAGCCACCAATTTTTGCCATTGTTCGCCTTTTTACCTCGAACCACTCTGAGTGTCCTGTTAAATGATGTGTTGTGGGCCAATTTAAGCCAAGCTCTCTGTCTCTGTCTATGTGTGCGTGTCCTTTTCCCTCGCATAGCCTGGCTATCCCTTATTTCGTTTATTTGCACTATAACATTTAAAACTGATTTATGCAGCAAATTGGAGAAAAACATTTAATTGCTACGAACGTGTCGCACCTCTACCCCCTTCCTATGTTGAGTATTTTGTGGGTCGTTCAGCAAAAATGCTAAATGCAATGTCAAGTAAAAACACAAAATAAAAGTGGGTATGGAGGGTGGGGGAGCGGTAGAAGCCAAACAATATTCTGCATACAAAATAACTTGGTTTCTCTAATGGCTGAATTTTAAAATGCATGAGCTCCACTCGGGTCACCCCTTCACCGCCAATCCCCCCTCACCCCGCAAACCATCCCAACCCACTTCGTCCTACGAACATGTTTGTGTTTTCTGCTGTGCTTTGTGAACTGTTGAAGTTTATTTTGCCAGATTTTAATATGTATGAGTTGAAGATGAAGCATTTATGGCAACACAACACAGTGGCAGATAGAATACTCTGTATGTGTTTGGCATATTTATGCAGGTCTTCGACAGAGAGGCGTGGGAGAAAGGGGCGTGACGGCCTCCCACTTCTGTAATAGCAATTTCCTCTAAGGCCTCCAAGTATTTTCGGCATGCTCAGCAATTTTCCCACTGGCAAGTGACTGACTAATGTAACTTACGTGTATCCTATATGTATCCTCGATGTGGACTCGCCCCGATCTCCTTCCACCCACGTCCAATCCTCCACCCTCTACATCCGTTCGCCATGCTCCAATAATGCAAAACATTTGTACTAGACAAGGCCGTTCCATTTTCTTGCTTGGTCCTGCTTCGTGTGGGGAATGTGGCTTCTTTTTTGCGGCTCGTTAAGTTAGCCTGATGCCATTTGTTTTATGTTGCTAACTCAATTTATGAATACCACTCATGAATCATGGGGATTTTGAACCGTGCTTTTGGGTTTTCCCGCAGCGGGTATAATGTTAAAAAAACCGGTTATTAAGATAAAAGAGAAATTTTAAATGATGTTTTAAAAGATAAATTATTATCTCCTCATATCAACTTGCACTGTACAATTTTTCATTGACTTTTAACTTTATAAACTGGAATCATAATGCATATAAATTCATTTTAATTATAAAGTTGGTTTAAAATTAAAGTTTTCTTTAAATAAATAACACAGTAATAAAATGTAATAGGTTTAATTGGAGTTTTTGCAAATTTCTCTTCTTAGAATATTAAATCAAAACAAGAAAGGGAAGCTAACTTCGGACGGAGCCGAAGTTGATATACCCTTGCAGAATATTCTGTAAATTATATTCTTCAAAATTATTCATTTTATGCATTCTTAATACTCCTAAAAAGTCCCAATTTCATAATTTTAAAAACACCAAAGTTATGGCATTTCCAATCGTTCAGTTATATGGCAGCTATAAGATATAGTCGGCCGATCATTATGATTTGGTATGTCGATTGGCGTTTCCGATCGTTCAGTTATATGGCAGCTATATGATATAGTCGCCCGATCCGGCTCGTTCCGACTTATATACTACATAACCACGAGAGTCGATCTAGCCATGTCCGTCCGTCTGTCCGTCCGTCCGTTTCTACGGAAACTAGTCCCTCAGTTTTAAAGCTATCTGCTTGAAACTTTCCCAAAAGTTGTCTTTCTATTGCAGGTAGTATATAAGTCGGAACGAGCCAGATCGGGCCACTATATCATATAGCTGCCATATAACTGAACGATCGGAAATGCCATAACTTTGGTGTTTTTAAAGTTAGGAAGTTGGGATTTTCTATGAATTTTATTTTTGGCCAATCAGTCTGACCTACCAAATTTCATAAGGAAGTTGGGATTTTTTATCAGTATTAAGAATGCATCATATAAATAATTTTGGAGAATATAATTTACAGAATATTCTGCAAGGGTATATCAACTTCGGCTCCGCCCAAAGTTTGCTTTCCTTTCTTGTTGAAACATTAATTTTGTAATTAAAATCCTAATTAAACAAACGCTAAAATGGAATTTCCGATCTGAATTCATTTTTGCACTATATATTTTTTTTTTCTTAAAACCATTTCTCAATAAATCTTTTTAACAAAATGGGAAATTTAAAATTTTATTTGATAGTAAATGAAGATAAATTTCACACGCATCTATTATCGAACCCATTCCCACATTTCAACACCCGAGAGTAACCATTCTTAAATCCTGTAGCCCGGCCCTAACTAATATAATATGCATCGTCCTGTTTGCATGTCCTACATCTGTATCTTATTAACCGAATTGATGTGTTTGCTTATTTACTTAATGTCGGAGGGTATATGTTTCTGTTCCAAATTCGGATACCGTTCCCTCTACCCCTCCAGGCTTCAGTTGCCTTAGACGTGTCCTTGCCTCCCCTGTTTTGGTCCTTGCGTTTTACGTGCTCATTATCTGCGCTTCCGAACAATTAGATTCAATTACCCACCGCACGTCTATTGTCGGGAGCTGGCTGGGAATCCCCCAATCCGCTTGGCCCCGTTTGCTGGCGTGTCTGCCTTTGATAAGATGCGACTTGGACTGGGGATTATTATTCCCGTAACGTTATCCGAACGCAATTCTCCACCGGCACACACACATCACGTATTTAAGTACATCCTGCTGATGCTCCTGTTCGTAGCTCAGTACAACTAATCCATCACTATTTGCCGTACATTTTAAATGAATCTCCTAGCCAGCCTGGATGGGTAAGCGGGGTATTAGAGAGGTATTAACACCCATCAGGAAGTCAATTGCTTGTAAAATTCTCTCTCAAGGATATTCATCAGTCTTTGGCAGGCAGGGGGGACAGAAATTTTTGCAAGTGACACTTATTTATCATTCGTCCCCCGCCTTGTTTATCATCAGTGCGCAGGAGAAGCAACAGAGACAGAACGAAACAAACAAATTGAACACGGACTTATCCTTAATGTGGAGTGATTTGTCAGCTCAGATGGAAGATGTCCTTAAGGGGATTTCGAAGGCGGCTGAAATTTAATTTCATACTTTGTTAAAAGGGCCATTCATTTGTAATCAGAGATAAGAGAGGCAAGATGAGTACCTAAATTAATGCAAAGGTGTACGGATTTAATCCCAGGAAAACGCACACTTCAAGTTTCATACAATTACGTATATTTATTTGGAGTATTTGTGTCAAATGTTGTTTGCTTTGCATTCTTAAAAGTTAATTATTGAAAAATCACACAGGAAATGATTTTCTTTTTTCATGCATTACATCTGATCTTAGTGTTTCATGAAAAGTATTAACAAAAACACTTTTTGCAACTAAATTAGCTATTTTAAGTGCAAAAACTTACAAATTAATATCACTATAAATGCTCAAAGGGGTAAGGGTAGTGATGGTGAAGAAGAAAATTAGAATTCCGTGTGAAAACTGTTAGCCGTGTCGATCATTTTGGATTGCAGAAATATCTCAGCATGGTCAGTCATCTGTGGGAATAAATTACATTTTTTTAAGTCAAATTTATGTTTTTCCACGTATTTGGAATTCTTTGAACATTTATAAAATATAATGCTAAAACTTTTATAGTTTCGGGATCTTACCTCCTTGAGGGTCAGCAGTTCGTCCTTGTTTTCGTCACACAGGCTGAACAAAGTGGCCGCCTCTTGGAGAGCATACCGCGGTGTCTTAGGATTCACATAGTTCAGGAGTTCCCCCCGATCAGCCTTGCCATCGTGGTTCCTGTCGATTATCCGCTTAAACTCCTCACGTCGCTCCACCAGAGTCTTCGATATGAGAGACTTGCGCATCAGGTCGTCGTCATCGTCGACATTGAGATCGGAGAACTCCTCCAACGTTAGCTGATCGTCACCATCCTGATCGAACTGGCGCAGCAGATCATCCACCAGCTCCAAAAGATTGGACACACTGGACTCGGGATGCCGGAAACTTAAGTACTCATCGATGGTCAGCGTGAACAGATCGGTTCGAGCTGCCTCCGACCAGCGGGCCTTGTCCCTCATCATGTCCTCCCTGGCCCGTCGATTCAGTGCCGTGTGCCGGATCTCGTCATGCTCATCGATATCCGCCTCCGTCATGCCGTGCTCCCTCAAAAAGAACCGGTGGTACTCATCCCAGGTGATCAACCCGTCGGCGGGTCCGATGTCCACGCGTTGGAATTCGCGGGCATTGTTCATAATAGCCTCATCAATGTGCTCCACGATCCGGCGGTTGATGTACTGGCCCATCTCCTGAATGGACAGAATGCCATCGCGATTACGATCGGCCCTGAAATGGTAGGGTTTAAAAAATGTAGATCATAGGTGCCCAAAAAGAGAACATTTAAAACAAGAAAGGAAAACTAGCTTTGGGCGGAGCCGAAGTTGATAAACCCTTGCAGAATATTCTGTAAGTTATGGCATTTCCAATCGTTCAGTTATGTGGCAGCTATAGGATATAGTCGGACGATCCTTATGAAATCTAATAGGTCGGATTGATTGTACAAAAATAAAACCCATAGGAAATCCCAACTTCCTAACTTTACAAACACCAAAGTTATGGCATTTCCGATCGTTCTGTTATATGGCAGCTATTGGATATAGTCGGCCGATCCTTATGAAATTTCCGATCCGAATATATATACTTTAAAGGGTCGGAGATGTCTCCCTCTCTGCGTTGCACACTTTTGACCAAAATTTTAATACCCTCTGCAAGGGTATAAAAATGTGTTTGCATTTATAAGCTTTATATTTTTTCCAATACTTAGACTTGGGAATTAACAAAGTAGGCCATGAACTCCCAGAGCCAGGGTGGATGGGGAGGGTGGTCAAAAAACCTTACTCTCGCCGTTTAAATTGGTAAATTAATGTATTAAAAAAATTGTATTTTATATTTTCTCGAAAAAAAAATACTCATACGATCCGTAAAGTCAATTAAATAATTTTTTTTAATTAATTGTTTTTAATATTCCTTGAAATTTGCATACAAATTATAAAAAATTAATAATGAAAGCTTTGACACATTTTGCACAATAATATACTTTAGAAAAAAAATCTATTATCTTATAGAAGCCTTACAGTGCCTCAAAATTGCCTATACATTGAGTAAAAAGCGAAAACGTTTACTGAATAATTCCGAACGTAACCAAGTTACGGCAGCCCAATCAAATGTACATTATACATTAACAGCAACCGACTGGCCCCCTTGGCTGTTGGCGCAAATTCCCTGTTGCATACTTGTCTCGTGCCGCACACCTCACCCGGATTCCCAGCCATCTACATCTGCCGCACCACAGAGAAGTGGTGCTGCCAAATGCTGCATATGACAGCTGTCTGATGATTACTCAAGTCCTCTGGCTCTTTCTTCACTTAAAAAATCATCTTATTGTTGAAAATGTAAATTAAAATCATTAATTTATAATGTTGATTATGGTTTTTTGCACCAGCTTTAACTTATACTGCCCGAACCTTTTTGAGACATTTTTAAACACTGATTTTCCAGACTAGCAATTTAAACACTAATAAACACTTAATAATTAAAAAAAAACATTCAAATTGTGGATCATTTTTTTGCATTAAAATAATCAATACTAGTTTTTCTATCCCAAAAATAAAATATCAGAAAATATAAATTTAGTCTTGTTTTCTCATAATCTTGATTAATTTAAGTTTTTTAGCTAAGGAATAATCTTACTTAATAAATGATAACTAATATATACTTATAATGTTCTATTTAAGAGCGTAACATTTTTCCCAGTGCCTACCATCCTCCGGCAATGAAGTGCGAATGCCCAAAACAGGTGTCAGATATTAAAGCTGCTTATGGGGAACTTGGGGCGGGAATAGGGGGTCAATGGGGATGTGGGGGTGACAGGATGAGGCCGGCAAACCACTGGAATAATCAGCGGATGGCAAAGGAGCGGGACCAATGTTTGTGCCTGCAATTGTGTTTGTTTGTACAGCGTACACACATACACGCACACACACATATATATATATATATAATAATATAGGGGCATGTGGGGACATGGCGGAAACGGAAGTGGCAGCAGCAGAAGAAGAAGAGCAAAAGAGAGCCACCGCACAGTGGTTTCATTAGCATATAGTTGATAAATAAATAAAGTTGCAACTAAAACGGTTTCAAGTTGCCTCTTCCTTTGGCAACGAGCAACTTAGCTCCGCTCCGCCCTCCTAATTCCTCTTTTCGGTCACGTCCTGCTCCAGCTCTCCAGTTTGGCTGAAATGTATATGAGAAACGTTTGCAGCCGTTCCCTGAGTTTTTTTTTTGCCAAGTGGGATCAAAGAGATGAAGCGGGGGAAGCCGGTTAAGTCCTCGAATATAAAAACAAAGTTTTCAAGCTTTGCCTTTCTTCCTTTGGCGTCTTGTACGTGCAAGAAATTGACTCGCAAAAAATTGGAGCGGGAACGGCTTTCCCATTCGTAAATTCCAGCAATTGAGGCTTTGAAAACGAACCGAAAAGTGGAAGCGCACGGTTCAAAAACCCGTTTGCAACGGCGGGGAGGTTGAGAATTTGTTACAAAGCGCAAAGTGCATTTTGCATAAGCCTGCGGTTCCACTGAAGTTGGCCAATTCCTTCTACCACCGCCGTGATTCCTGCAGCCCGTTTTCGGGGGGTTCTGTCGAAGGATTTGGCCGACAGAAACAGGATGCCTCGCATAGAAGGGATTTCTTCGCAACCCTTCCCATTCCTTTCCCTCTGATTTGCTGTCCCGCTTTTGGGCCCCTCGAGGTCTGGTGGCAGAAGTAAAACTTAACTGCTGAAAATTTAATGGGATTACTTCAAACTTGATTCCGTCGGTTTAGTCTAGGCCTTTTGGCTTTGAGCTGCAAGTTTTAATACTTTTGGGCAGTTGGAAAAGTCACTTTGTATCTTTTAATAAAATATCTATGAACTTAAAATGTTTGACATTTTGTTTTTAACCAAACAAAAATAATATTTGTTTGTTTTTTGTGGGTTTGTTTTGAATGTTACTTTTGTACTGTCACTTGAGTATACTTATTACTCTTAAACCATAAATTTCATATTTCATTGGCACATCTTAAATATCAATGTGGCAAAATAATACAAATTTAATAATTTTAGTACCCCTTTTTATACCCTTGCAGAGGGTATTATAGTTTTGGTCAAAAGTGTGCAACGCAGTGAAGGAGACATCTCCGACCCTATAAAGTATATATATTCTTGATCAGGATCACCTCCTGAGTTGATATAGCCATGTCCGTCTGTCCGTCTGTCTGTTTCTACGCAAACTAGTCTCTCAGTTTTAAAGCTATCGAATTGAAACTTTGCACACACCCTTCTTTTCTTTGCACGGAACGGCCGGGATCGGCCGACTATATCCTATAGCTGCCATATAACTGATTAATCAGAAATGCCATAACTTTGGTGTTTGTAAAGTTAGGAAGTTGGGATTTTCTATGGGTTTTATATTTGGCCAATCAATCCGACCTACCAAATTTCTTAAGGATCGGCCGACTATATCCTATAGCTGCCATATAACTGAACGATTGGAAATGCCATAACTTTGGTGTTTTTAAAGTTAGGAAGTTGGGATTTTTTATGAGTATTAAGAATGCATCATATGAATAATTTTGGAGAATATAATTTAAAGAGTATTCTTCAAGGGTATATCAACTTCGGCTCCGCCCGAAGTTAGCTTTCCTTTCTTGTTTAAGGTTTGAAAACGTTGTCTTGTTAATTGAATAGTTGTTACATTTTTCATGTCAACATGCAAAACTCAGCGTTTTGATTAGAATTGCATTGTCGCGACATGTGAACACATTGACTGTAATCCGTATATTAAATAAAAAAGTATTAAAAAGTTTCAACCTCATTAGAGAAAGTGAAATAAGTGTTTTCTGGAAGTCAGTATAAGCTCTAAGGTGTTAACTTTTCAAAAAAAAAAACATAAATCACATTACCGCACTACACACTTTTTAAGCGCACTAACAACAATAGGAAAACTCCGAACGAAAAAAGTTTTCCGCGTGTTGCGCGCAAACTTTTGGCCAAAGTTTATTGTGCGCTCGCATAGAGAGACAGCGATGGAAAAAGGAAGTTTGCAATTTTAGCACAACGCCCAATCAATGAGGGGGGCGGGAAGGGAGACATGGGCGTGGCAGGCTGCGGGTGCCGCAGGCAGGCCTAATTGGATGCAAAAGTCAGCCAGGACACGGGCATAACAGAGGACCAGGACATTAGCCCGCCCCACTGGTCGATTCGGTCATGCATGGGGAATGAGATTGGAACTGCAAAACTGCCAACTGTCGATGGCATGTGGCATGTGGATGCCCAAAGGGGAAGGGATCGGCAGACAGCGCTAGGGCTCACAATTAAAATGTATAACAATGTCCCTTTCAACAGCCATATGAGGCGACAGTTGCAGATAAAATTTTATTGCTCCTAAAAATGAACAGGACACAGGGCAGCCATGAAAGGACGACTCAGCGCTGAATCTCACGCCCCCTGTCAACCGCATTATTAAAATGGAATTAACATACAGAATCGAGAGGGGTGTCGGGTGTGGTCGCTGGTGTGGTCGCGGGGTGGTAAAGTCATAGGGGCCGGGCCTTCCGCAAAATGATGGCTATTAATTTCAGGCAGCAACGCAATTATCACAACATTTTCTGGTCAGTTTAATTGCAGTTTAATGCGAAGGCGACAAGTGGAAATCTCCACATAACTCACGTCGCCCCCGAGGGGCCTTAAAGATCCAAATGTTCGCCAAACAATGGACATTGAAAGCCCCTGTTGCGCTTTAATTGCTGTTTGAGAGAATTTAAATTTGATTTTAGCTTGATTGTCCGAAAATTGTACGTTATTCAATATAGCTGCAGCAATTTCGGCATGGCTTAAATAAATTGAAAATATGCGGCCCAACAAATGCTATGCAAATGATTTTAGTTTCATCCGAGTAGAAATTCGAATAAATTCCGGCTCCCTCGGGTGTCGATGGTTTTAAATGTTATCCTTCATCAAATATTAATAAAAGCTGTGCAAATATGTGCGGCCATATACGAACGCAGCCATTTATCTGTAAACAAATTTGTACCAACAGTGGTGCAAACGGAAAATGCGTTTATTTTATGCCCGGATTCCTGGCCATCCGGCAAAGTGAAATACCCTGAAGGGAGATCCCTACTGACCGACTGCCTCACGGAGTTTGAAAAACTTTGGTGTCGGGTCCTCTGACTCGTATTTGCTTTAAGCCCTCCCGTGTTTATATTTACTGGAACCTGCTGCACAGCCACAGCTTTGCTGATGGACAGATTTCTGGTGGCTGCCTTCAGGGGTTTTAACTGGTTATCATAAGTGCCGAAGGTCGTTAGTGGAGGAGGCGAAAGTGGGGGCATTGCCCATGGCCTTGGGCCAAACAGAAATGCGATGAGGTGAAAACAGTACATTAGAGTCTAGCTTGAAGGCTGAATTGAATGTCAGCCATCATCAGTGAGAAAGGATAACAGATGGTCTTACTGTCATTAACCACAAGCCTGCTATCGCTTATATAATCAAAAGGTGTAGTGTTTATATTGTACATTATTTTATTTTAATGTCCTTCGTTTATAGATAACAAGCCTTGAATATTTCCAATAAATGAAATAACTTTATGAAAGTTTCATTCATCTCTCCCTTCTAATAACCTATTAATACAATTTTTAAGTAGGCTTCATCAGAGTTTCACTATTTCGCCATCTAAAGTCCATTAATTGTATCTTTCAGTTTGCATTAAACTTAATTGAACTAACATAAACTCTCATTAGAAGCAAAGGTAAATAGAAAATCCCAGTTGGCATTTATAATCCTAGAAGAGCTAAACTGCTCGAGGTCACCGTCAGACATCAACAAATCGGAAAATCCCAACAGCAGGGAAATGCTTTTCTGCTATATTATTTATTGAATTGAAATGAGTTTTGCCAAAAAGACGTTTAAAGTTTAGCAAACGCAATATTGGCTAAAGGAGGCCAAAAGTTTCGGGTCCAGCAAAGAAGGAAGTCGAATAAATATGAAATTGCAGTGACAGTTTGATTTCTCTCTGCTATTTGGCCCAAATTTTTTTTCTTTCAAATTCTTTTCAACACCTGAAGTTTTATTTTCCTGTGGCCATTTCTGTTTTGGTTGGGAAATTCCTGGCATTCTGACTGCCTGATTACCCCCAAAACCCCAGAGCATCAAATTGCAATTTCAGCCGGGACGATGACTGGAAACTTTTCAGTTTCCGTCTGACCACCTCTTGCCCCAACACTGGCAACCATCAACTAATCTATTACGACCTTAGTGAAGTCAAGTAATTGGTCAATTGCCTAATCGCTTGTGCAAGAGCTGAGAACGTTTTATATACCTTGTTTAAGTAATTAGGGTAATAGTGCAAGTCAGGATGATAGAAATCGGAAGGGCTTCCGGCCAACCAATTACGGAATGGCAGGCGAATGGGAAGGAAAGGGTTATTTAACTAAAGTATTTATTTGTTAAAATATAAATACATAAAATCCTGATAAATATTCCCTATTCCCTTGAGTTGGTTAACATTCCTGTTGGTGAACTTTAATTTAATATTTCTTGCCCGAAACAACCAAACGTTTCAATCAAGGTTTATTATCTTCACATTGCGGCAAGCTTGTAATTTGATTATCCTGATTGCTTGAAACAAATCAAAAGCATGGCAGTCAACAAATCTCATTCCGTGTCCTTATTGATCCAATCTAACCCACCTAACCTTGCCACCACCTTCCCTTCCCGCCCCTTGCCTGCGACAGAACAACATCCATCAATTCCAGCTGCTGTTGCTATTGCCACTAATTTTTACAATTTGTCCTACACAGAGTTATGGAGGGCCCTGAAGGGGGAGGAGTCAGGGTGTTGGGGCGATGAAAGCCGCAGGCAACGCTGTCGCTGTGCGCAACAATAAAGAAGCCACCGAACTAGTGCCAAATTATCAACCGAACAAACCGAGGCCCAGGACCAAGGCCATAACTCAGGCGCCCGGCAAAACTTACCGTTTGAAAGCTTTTGCCAGTATTTGCTTCTCATTCACATTGCTGGCCGCTAAAATAACTGTTTCTGGCTGGTTAGGGGATTTGCTGGCATTGCTGGCAGCCGCACTTTGCACTTTTTGTGGGTGGGGTGGATGTTCATGTGGATGGGGGAGATGGGGAGATTCGTTCCCCAAATCCAAATTGTTTGCCACAGGCTGAGACCTCAGCTTTTCCTCGTGTTTTTGTTGCTGCTCCAGTTCCGGCCGTCGTTGGGCGCCATTATGCCCCACGTTGGGCGCCATTTTTCCCTCTGCCTGCGTGCTGCTACTGCTACTGCTGCTGCTGCTACTGGTGCTGCTGGCCTGCTCCTTCAGCTGCTGCTGCAGCTTGTGGCTGGTGCTGTGCAGGATCAGGCCAATGAAGAACATATAAAACAAAATTGCGCACAATGTCGAGCAGCGCAGCCAGCGGAAGCTTTTGCTCAGCTTGTTAACGAAAGTCATTTTGTTGCCGCCGTCTTCGTCGTCCTTTTCGTATTCGTTCTCGTCTCCGTTATCGTTGTTGTTGTCACTGCCACCGCTGGACAATAGATGGCAGTGGAGTGGCAGTGGCAGTGGCTGATGGCGTTGATGGTGATGGTAATGGCGACGGGGAGGCGGCGGTGGTGGGGCTGATGGTACCAGCTCTAGTTTCTGGTACACCGACTCCTCCTCCTCGGTCCACTCGGCGGCTTCCGGATCCTGCTCCAACTTGGACCGCAGCTTTCAGGACTCGTTGCGTGTAATTTGCAGTAATTTCTCCTCCCTCCTTCTTTCTTTGCCCTCAGTAAAGGCTACTGGTTAGTTTCTCCTGTTGCTGCTGTTCCTGATGTTGTTGTAATAGTACATTAATTGACTTTTATGTTGCAACCAGCGCAAGACGGGCAACGATGTGGGCCCGCAGCGGTTGATGATTCTGCTCCTGCTCCTGCTCCAATTTGTATCACTGTGGCCACGCCCAGCTTCCGCCCCCCTTTTTTTATATGTAGTTAGCACGGGGCGTCAGAGTAACAACTTCTAATACCAATTTGATGTGTTATTGCCGTTCGCACGATTCCCATTTCCTTTATGCCGGGGCTCCATCTTGTCTGCATTTTACACCAATTTTACATGATTGTTAGGGGCGCCATTTCCATTATGCGCGCTGATAATGCTGATGGCGACGGGGCTGTGAAGCAGAAGGGAAGAGGAGGAAATGGATTTAGCATGAGTAAAGTTAAGGAAATCGTTTCTCATTGCGAATTCGGGTCAATGGTTCCCCAAATTTATTGTGACAAAGTCAGAGGGCTTCCAATGCAATGACATTTTAAATTTTATCTAACTCTTAAGGGTTTAAAAGAGTTATATGTTAACTCGCTCTACTGAAGTCAAAGAAGACTGATATACCCAAATGTAGAAATTTTAGAACTAAATTAAAGAAAACTTTATTGGAATAAAATACTTTCAAGAATTTAAATTATATTCAATTATATTAATCATAATAATATGTAATTATTAAGCCACACAATATACCAATAATATGTTCTTTACTAAACATAATGAGGTATCTTAAATAATAATAAAATGTATATTTATATGTATGTAGTAAACTTAAAACTAAACTTTATAACTTCTTAACTAAACTTTATAAAAAAAATGCATTTAAACATCTTAAAACACTTTACCTAGTTAAAAGTATTACAAATAATAAAATATCTTTGACACCCAGGCAAGTAGCCAATCGTTTGAATACTTTATCTCTTTAAGCCTTTTGACTTTAGTCGTGAATTTATGTTTTCCAGTCAAGTCTTTCCCCTTTTAGATAGCCGAGTTATTAATTAGCCATTGCAAAATCTTTTTACTCACTTCAATGGCCCCTCAAGGGGGACAATCAAAGGCAAATGGAGGAGGGGGTTCAGCCATTAAGCAGCCAACGAGCGAATTAGAAAGTCCCATAAATTTCCCTTCGTTCTCATTATTGAAGTAGAGGGATTCTGAACAGGGTGGGGTGCAGGGCTAAGCCATAAAATGGGGCCAACCTAATGACTTACATAATAGAAAGTACTAAAACAGAAGTCGTAAATGAGATCAGATGAGATGAGAGTTCAGATGAGATGAGTTCGGGCAGCCTAGGCCATGAGATGGGTAGTTAATTTTAAAAGCTCAGACATAAAATTTTCCATGTTGCCTGTCATTAATGTGGCTACATAAACAGATTTGAATGGGTGGAACAGTAATCTGAACTTGTGACGAACCTAATGAACTCTTGCTGAGAGGTGTAACGAAGAATCAAGTTTAAATTTTCACATTCAGGATTAAATAAAATATTCCTGCAACCAATTATTTAGCGCCAGACATTTATTATTGGGGCTTTTTTGAGTTTGTATTAAAGTTTTCCATTGCCGCAGCATTCTTTATTTTATAATTAAATATTTACGCAGACCTATCCAGCTTTTATGAACAAAAAATCAACTGAACTGGAATCCATTGAAATCGGAACTGATTGTCAACATTTGCTTACCAATTTCCCGTTGTAAGAGTAATTTAATCAGATATTTCCCCCAGTACATATTTATGCCATATCCCATTCACCAACTGTTCACTTGTTCACAGACAAGAGAATTCACACTTGTCGATGGAAATTCGTACCAATCTCCACTCATATTCAATTCGATTTGACTTACTGACTCAATTTGCGTTTCTGAATATGCAGCACATGTGTTCATGGTCCATACATTGGTTTGAATTTTATTACCTCACTTGTTGTTGTTGCTGGTCCCGGGATTTTGGTCGGTTGTTGCCACACTTTTTAACGCTATTGTCTTGCGTCGTTTACTTTTGCTTTCGTTTCGATGGCTGCGCTTGTCTTTGTTTCTTCTTGTTGTTGTCTTTTATTGGCCAACGGAAAACCAGTTGAGCGTCTTTTAAGACCCACACACTTGGAAAAATATTTTTAAGCTTATTGAATTTTAGAAAAGTGGCTTCAAAGAGTTCTTATAACTGCCAACTCTTGCTAGTTTACTTAATTGTTTGGTTATTCAACCTGTGTACCACCTATGGCAGAATTTTTAAAATTGTTTCTAATACTTTGAGATATTTTTATAACGTAGAGCAAGCTTCAAGGAACCATATGGATATTCTTAAAAAAAACTAAGTGCTATGCAAAAATTGTATCTCATAGATGAGTATGATTTAAGAATGCACAAACTAAAAAATAATCTTAGAAAAAACAGTTTCACTTTTATGAAACGTTGTTCCCAATCAGTAACAAAAACCAAGTAAGTCAAGAAAAATGTTCTCTTCTCCTTCAAGTTTAAGTGTAAGTTTGAGTGGCTTACATACATTTAAACACTCAGAAACCCATAAGCGAGTCGCAGATGTTTCATTCATCGCCCGGCTACTATTGTCTTGTGTTGGCCAGCTACATTTGGCCATCGCCATCCGTTGTTGCCACTTTTACTGTTTGTCCGTTTCATTTCTTTATTTTCGCTTTCTGTTTTTTATTAACTGCTTCTCGTTGGGATTTGCTTTTGTTTCCCCCCTTCAGCTGCAACCTTGTTTTATGTCTCTGTGAACTTTTGTTGGTTATTAGCTTGTCCGCACTCCCAAACAGATGGCATTGGAGTAACAGGGAGAAACAAAAAAAAGATGGAAAAAAAGTTGGTAATAAATTTTTAATGAAATTTCTGTGCAACCTTAATGAAAATCGACCAGAGAAAGAGAAAAGGCAAAGACAAATGGAAGAGCAACCGGCTAGGAAGATTTTTTAATCAAATTTACGTTCATATCGGGAAATCAAATCCAATTAGCAACTTTATAAGAACTTTCCACTTGCCTGCCCATTTTCCATTTGCCCTATCCTTGGATCCGCTCCAGTTACCGCTCATTATAAGTGTCCCTCGCAATGAGATTGTTATACGGATTCATGTTGAACGCCCACTTTAAGGCACCCCTTAATCCCCCAGCTCCCCGTGCGCCCGAAAGATAGTGTCAATTTCAATAAAAATCGATGATGTAGCAAAAAGTGCAGGGGCAAAAAGCCGGCGAACGAAAGTGGAGGAGAGAGTTAAAAAAATGCGTTAAACTTTATTGCAAAACTATTGCCAGACAAGTGGCACAAAATGTTGCAAGGGGAGTCGAATGAGGCTGGCTATATCTGCCTGAGCATTCGGCGATAAGCTCTGGATGGTTGCACAAGTTTAAAGATTTGATTTGGCAAAAGCTGCGCCGTCGATACGAGAACAAGTAAGGCGAATTCCCCGATTGCCCCATTCCTCAGCGACCATTACAAATCGATGATAACGATGACGATGATGAAATGTTTGCTCAGCCATTGATGGATCCATCCTGGATGAAGGGTGCAGAGGGGAAGGATGGATGATTGGCCAGTTGAGATGGGAAATATCGAACAGTTGAGGATAACACTTTGATGGGGAATGTTTGTTTGCGCCAAGAGAAATGCAGTTCGCAGCAGCACAAAGATAACTTAAATACTCCTAGCCAAGAATGTTTGGGCAATGACGGCATGATGAGGGGATGATGCTAATCTGGAATGGAATTGACTGGGTGTGGAGTGTATTTTCTGAAAGAGCGCCTGCTGAACTTAATTCCTTAAGGATCTTAAATTTAGCTTGCTTAAATTTGTGGAAACTTATTTCCCCTAAAAGTTTTGCTCAGCTCATTATAGAACTGCCATTAAAAATAATAAAGTGTAAAGTTAATACAAGTTTTCAAAGAAAAATATTGAAAGGGCATAAAGACTACGAAACCCCCTTGAACAGTTCTCCACAACTAATAAAAACCCATGACAAAGCTCTATTTTTATATTTACTTTCATCAATCAAAGGATTCTAGAATGTTAACTAAAGGGGCACATACACAAATAAACTTTTTTTATTAAATACAAAAATAATACATGGATTAAATAAAGTCTGCTCTCCTGTGAGTCACCCCAATCCATTAGCAAAACAAACATCATCTATTGAGCAAGCACAATTAGAAATTTATGAATTTCTCAAATTGTTCAGCAAATGAAATTCAAAACGCCATCCAACTATGGCAAATCAATTGCATTAAATATACATAACTGGCACTATCTAGCTGCATATAAAACTATCTGTCTATTTAGCTCGTTTCTATCTATATTTCTAATTGAACATTAACAAAATCACTAAAAACCAGGCAAAACCCCGACGGGCAAAATAACAGAAACCATGGAAACCAATACGGCAAAAACAACAACACAAAATGGCAGAAATCCATAAAATATGCATAGGAAAATCCATTTCAATTTTTTGCCCATAACAGTTTTCGAGACTCTGACATTTCAATTAAAACTCGAAACAATTTGATGAGCAGTGATGACAATGATAATGATGTTGATGTTGAGAAGGATTATAATTGGCAAACACACCCACAGGAAAGGGCGCCATCGCTGATAGATTTAATTTAACTTTTTAATGAACTCGAGTTCAAGCAGCACGAACCCATTTGAGGCCAGTATTTATTCCAATTAGCAAAGAGTTTTTCCTGTTTTAGGATTAGGGATAATCCCCTTGCTGGCTGTAATTTAAAGACCCCACGAAGTGTTTTCCTCAACATAAACTGCCATTTATGTTCGTTCATGGTTGAATTCGCCCATATTGCATTTTCTTTTCTTTGGGTGTAATCCTTTTTTTGTGGCCATAATCAACTCCTCCTCTGGCCAAAGTCAGAGCTGGCCTTGCCAATGTGTGTGTCGGTTGCCAGTTGATGTGTGCGAAAACTGCACTCAATCAGTGCCAAGCAAACAACCTGCAACAGCCGGCCAGCAGCAACAACGAAATGTGAAGCGATGGAAAAAGAGCAGGCAACAGACAAATAAGTTGATTTGTTTGTTGTTTGTAGAGAATGAAAATGCCGAAAAAGCGCACTGCCAATGCAAATACCCACTAGAGAGATGAAAAGATTGGTAACGAGTATGGCCAAAACGAGTTTTAAATACTCTACAAAAAACTAAGAGTCGTTTACAAATTATATAAGTCTTGTTTAAATAATAAATAACAAGAAAGGAAAGCTAACTTCGGACGGAGCCGAAGTTGATATACCCTTGCAGAATATTCTGTAAATTATATTCTTCAAAATTATTCATATGGTGTATTCTTAATACTCATAAAAAGTCCTAACTTCCTAACTTTAAAAACACCAAAG